GCGGTCCTGTTTGCCTGCTGAAAATTTGCTACAATTGTGCGAACACGCTGAAATCTTACTAAATATTTCAGCACAAACGAGAAGTAACGATGTGGCAAGGGGCACTCCAAAGTTGAGGTGGCGTAACCTAAGTAGCAGGTCCCTAAAATCTTTAGTTTATTTAAAACAAGTTTATTTAAAATTGTATGAATAAATAAGCAGTGAGGTTACATACAAGATAAAGTGTTCTTTTTGAGATAGTTAGTAGGGAGTTTGATGCTCATAAATGGTCTGTAAAAATGTATGTATAATACATATTTCTTTGAAGTTTCGGAAAAAGGTACTTAAGCCCTTTGTTTTGGCGGCAAACTTTTCGAAATCTAGATTGCCGGATAGAACTATTTCAACTTCCTCATTGATGGCCCTTTTGACTTTCACTCGAATGCACTTGCCAAATTAAAGTGGCTCTGTTTTGCGCCCCAAGCTCCCTGATTCCCTGTCTCCTGCACTCACATATGTCCGACAATTTCAATTACATTTCTTCACTTCAATCAAATCGCATTTCGTTTCAGCACTTGGCCTTTGCCCGGCTACAGTCCCAGGCTATTGGCCAAAAAAATTGTTTGTGCAGTACGCGTGTTGCACTTCCAGTCATTCGTAAATTGAATTTACAGTTCAGTCTTAGCCAGTTGAGTCGGTCCTTCAGCCCCACCCCCTTTAAGATTTGGCAATTTCATTGGATTTTTATTTTTATTTTATTTCCCAATTTCTTATCGCTCCACGGTACTCGTGACTTTGGCGACAATTGTCCGAAATCGTTTTCGAAACTATGTGGGTGAGTGACTTCTGTCGGCCACGAAGGACACTTGAAATTATTGAAATTGTTTTGCCATTTTGCGATGGCATACGGCATTCCCGGGTCCTTTCAATCGAGGTATTAGTATTTGGCTGCAATCCTGTCTGTCTGCCATTGTCATGGAATTTTCTCGTTTTGAGCGATTCTGGGAATTTGTGTGGATTTTGGTTATTGATTTCGAAATGCCAAGGAGTCTCTTCCTCGGCTTGGGGATCTCGAGTCCTCGGCGTGAGTGTGTGATTTTGAGATTTTAATTAGTTGCTAATTAGTTTGAAGGAGCTGAAATTACTCGTGACTACAAGAGGATTAAAATCGGAAGGAACAAAGGGTTGTAGTTTCGCCTGTGAAGTCTCCAAGTCTTTTGTTCCTTAATCCCGTTTGCGTTTAAAAATGTTGCCATAATTACAAGTCCTTTGCATTTCATTTAAATGACTCGCGATTTCACGATCCATTTAACCATGCCCACACACATTTTAAAATCTGGATTCCGCTTACGTTAAGTCAGTAATTTAATTGGCGCATTTCCCCCCCCAAAATAGTAGTTAACCCATACAGAGTAAATAACTCAATTTTCGACCGACCCACCTGCCAGTCGAACAGATAAAGCCATATTGGTTCTGTATTCGAAATCACAGACAAAATACCAAAAAAAAAATAAAACACACATGCATCTGAATAATGTTTTTTTTTTTTATTTTTTATAATACCTTTTGCCGGCGGTTAATTAAAAAAATAGGCTTGGCCGCCGGGATTTTGGGCAAGAGAGATGGCCAACAGACGCCTACCTTGATTTATAGCCCATCGCTTTAAGGTATAAATCAGGCGAAATGAAATTTTATATACACATGTTTGTATATAATATAAAGTGTCATGCCACATCGGTTGATGACTGGAATGGGATAAGTTGACTTCGGTGGTGGCCCGGCGTGTCCTGCGTTGGCCCGGTCAACTCTTTAGCACCATTAACAAAGGATTGTCCCCTCCGGGCCCCCGAACAGTTCGATTCCTTTGCCCGACTCCCCCAGTTTGCCTTTTCATTTACGTCGTCTTTGTTGACCACTCTTAATCCTTTGGCGGATGAAAGGAGCGAAGAAGCAGCGTTGCATTGCATTTTGCGATAAATTCGCATTAAGTGAGTGAAACAGAGAAGGACGAACCGGCAGGGAGGCAGGGAGGCGTCCTGGGCGGACGGACTCGCTGGCCACCAACAATGCGTCGAGTGCGATTCTGGAATTCCCTGCGCTTGGCACACAAACGCAAAGATAGAAAAATCGAATCGAAGAATGTCAATAAAGACTGCTGCAGTATCTGCAGCTCCTTTCGTCCTTTTCCTCCGACCAGCTCCCACAATCATTTTTTGGCCCAAGGCTTCGCTTTAATGACGCGTCCAGTGACAATGAGCCTCGTCTGGTCAGTGTGTTGTCTTCATTTTTGTGCGAACAGAAGGCCAGTTAAGAGGTTCCATTATTTAAAATGGAGTTTAAAGTTACAGAGAAAAAAAAATACAAATTTTTTCTTAGTAATACCAGGCTAATTTCTGAGTAAGCTTCAAGTTTTATTAGTTCTAGTTTATTTTCTTACTAGTCTTTGGATTAAAATATATTCCAAAATTACCCAATAGCATTTAAAAAACCTCTTGATTTCCCTCTTATATGAAATAAAATAAAATTTGTAAATATGTATTTCCACACCACTGTTCCATTCCATTCACAAGGAAGAGGTCCTTGATAAGAGCCTCGCTCTCGTCTGCAATTGACAACTTCAATGTGAACAATATTATTTGCATTTATTTTTCTGAAGACTTTTTTTTTTTTGGCAACCGGAGAGTGTGGCCGAAAGCAGAGACATTGTGGGGGCAGGAGTATTCGTTGCACTTCCCATTGCACAGCACTTTGTTGCTGCCCCATGTTGCTGGGGCTCTGTATCTGTAAATTCGAGCGAGGCTCCTTGCTTGGGGTATCGCTATTTCGCTGCATTCAACTTGCGGTTTTCTGTCTTCTTTTGAGAGGCAACAGCTGCCGCATATTGTTGCACCTTGTGCTGACTTGCTTGCATGGGCCACACCCCTCGTGCCACAGTCCTCCAGCACCCATCTATTGTGGTTTATTTGACTTTTGTTGCATGTTACGTAAGCCGGGGTCTTCAATGCACTTTGCTTACACCAGCGATTCAATGGGCTTTAACTGTGCCACACACACGAGCAGTATCGAGCAGTATCTGCTGCGGCTTCTGTGGGCGGCGTGCAGTGTGGAATTGTGGGGCATAAATAAGTGCACCGCTCTGTTTGACACTTGCAGCTGTCAACGCGGCGCGTGATTGATCGACCGATAGCACCCTGAAATACCCCGCCTGGCAATCGTTGGTAAGAAATGATGTTGTCAAGTGAGCTAATGGAGGGCTGGCACCATTAACTTGGCCCTAACAAATGGTCCGATCGGTCGATGTACGCACCAAAGTAAATTATTCAAAACCAATGGAGATATAATGATGCAATCATTGCACTTTTATCTATTTTTTCGAAATAATAACTCTCTTATCTCATGACAAAAAATAAAACCTAAAAAGTTACAGAATCAAAAAACAGCAGACGCCACAAGTCCCTCTAGAAACTTTCCTTGGACAAAGCAAAGACCCAAGAAATTAATTTAAATTTATTGCCTCAATTTATAATGCAACAAATTGAGCAAACCAAGAGGATAAGGGAAAAATCTCAAAAAATTAATGTTAAGCGAAGACAAAGTATCTGGATACAGATAATGGCACGGCATTGAACTTGAACCTATCTGCGATTGGAGTTTTTCAATTGTTTGCCAAAGTCATTGGGCGAAAAGTTGCTCCTATTCTGTCTGTCGGAAAGTTATTATAAAGTTTGCCATATAAGTTTGGCAGCCTTTTAAAGTTTCGTCTGCTGTCAACTCGTTAGATAACTTTAGATTCTGCATCGACTTGGTCTTGTGGACCAGGCCAGGCCAGCAAATTGAGTGCACACTGCCGGCAGACGTTTGTCATTTGTCTGCTGTCATGTCAGTTGTCAGGTTTGATTTTCGACATTCGCTCCCAGTTCTATTATTCTGTGTATATTTTTTGTTAAATTGTTACAACCGCCATGACAATGTGTGGCAAGTCCAAAAAATATGAAACGAAACAAAAGACAAATTTGTGCAGCTTTTCGGAAGCGTGTTGACAATATTTTGTAAAATCTTTCCTCTGGAAAAAGCTGCATTGTGAGTGTGGGGGCTAAAGTGTTTAATCATGTTGCATGACAATGAATACATGTCCCAAAAACATGTTGCATAGATGGCGATTTCAAGTTTTACTTTAATTTTGAAGAGTTTTCGAAAGAAATCTAAGCTTCTTACATTATTGTTAAGACATTGATGACACCATTACGCAAATGTAGAATTTTGTTTAAATATATACATTTTAAAAGAACCTTTATCAACATTTGATAAAACACTTCAAAGAGCATCTTACAGTCGTATCGTGACCTGTCACTCATTGTTTTCCCGGTGTTGACAAATGAGAATTTCCGAGATTGAGGGGTTGTGGGGTCGAGGTGACGGACAGCAATTCCCCAGCAGTTGATGTCTGAACACTTTATCTTAATGTCAATTTTTTGTTTCGTTTCGGCTTTCCAAGGGTTTTTCTGGCCCGGTCGTGTGCGTGAAGCAGTTAAAAACGTTCAGGCAAATTAGCTATAAAAAACGCATTTATACACCAGGCTTTTGGGAGCCACATTTGGGAGTCATGTCAAAATCACGACTCTGACGGCGCCAAAGAAGACTAGCTAGGCGATAAAGTAGCTCGGGGATTTACATTTATATTAGGCAGCTCAAAGAGCTTCTAACGATGAATCATCATTGCAGCTAAGCAGCTGAATATTCTATTCGGAAAATAAATCTCTTCCAATCGAATAGAAAATGTATTGAAAGCCAAGGTGAGGGTTTGGCTTTCTAAGATGTTTCTCACGATTTCAGACACTTAAGCCTATTTTTTATTCATTTATTTAATGCTTTTTATTTATTTTTAAAATATGGAAAACCACTGCTATATATTATTTGATTTAACCCTAGAAACTAGTCTAAAATCTAAGATGGATGGCCATTTGCCAAGACCATGTTTTGACTGAATACTAACGCCCCTTTTCCCCTCTTTTTTTTGGCAGTTTGACAACGTCAACTCGTGTTTGCATGTGCTGCGAAGTCAGTCGGTTGGCGGCTTGGAGAACATCACCACGAATGACATCTGTGCCGGTCGTCTGAAGGCGGTCCTGGCCCTGTTCTTCGCCCTCAGCCGGTTCAAGCAGCAGGCCAAGCAGACGAAATCGATTGGCGTCGGTTGTGGCAGCGGCGGCGGCGGAGGAGTTGGATCCTCGACGGCTCTATCCGGAGGTTCGGTTCTGGGAATCGGCTTGGGCGGCAGCTTGAGGCCCCCAGGTGCCAGTCTTCACCTGACTGATAAAAATCAGCAAGAACAGCAGCAGCAGCAACAAACCCCACAACAGTTGGCCGCCCAGTCTTTGGAAAACGGCAATGAAATGGTGAACCGGTGAGTACTTTTTCTAAAATTTGAAAATCTATTCGGTTTTATATCAGGCAGCTTTTGTCTGGATGGGATATGTTGCATGCCACGTTTAGCGTGTCAGTCTGAAGTTTGTGTCTTTGCTAAGGCGTTGGGTATATTCACCATGGTCTCTCCTAGACACAAACCGGATGTGTGTCTTTACTAAATATCTTTTTACACTAGAGTTCGAGTTTTTACATGTTTTTTTTCTAAGTTTATTAAAAGCAAATAAGATTTAAAACCCAGGATTATTATCCTGTTTTGTATATAAGTTTCATTTCGAAAACAAAACAAAAATAAAAAATAAAATAAATAAGAATATTTAAATACGATTTAACACCCAGCCATGGGTGGAAACGCTCTCGTAAAAACTAGGAAAATGAAAATAAATAAATAAGTAAAAAGAAAAATCAGGTTACAATTCCAGAGAAACCCTTGTCAAATGCCGTAACCAGAAATCGATCTGTATCAAATATTAAACAAAATATTTAATTTTTTTTTTTTTAATTTTTTAAGTTATTCTTTTGCAGTAATAGAAAATTCAAAATTTAAACAAATGTTAAACAAAAAAATCTTTTAAAAGATCAAGATAAGTCAAGAAGGTTTCCAGGTTTCTCATAAAAAAATAAAATAAATAAATGAAAATAAATAAGAAAGAAGAAAAATCAGGTTACTATTCCAGAGAATAGTTCCCTTGTCAAATGCCGTAACCAGAAATCGATCTGTATCAAATATAAAAGAAAATATTTAATTTTTTTTTTATTTACATTTTTTAAGTTATTTTTTTTGAGTAATATAGGAGTAATTCAATAGATAAACAAATGTTAAACAAAAAAATCTTTTAAAAGATCAAGATAAGTCAAGAAGGTTTCCAGGCCTGTCTCATAAAAAATAAAATAAATAAAATAAATGAATGAAAATTAATAATAAAAACTTGATATTAACTCTCTGGTATTAACCCCGACATGCCCTTGATCATGCTAAATTCCAGCACATAAAAATTATAAAATAAATAAATCAATAAAATAAAATTTTAAACAAAATAAAAAAATTAAATATAAAAGAGACCTTATCTCTTCGGGCCGACTGCAACTGAGACAAGTTGAAAGAAATTATGAGGTATACCATAATTATACCTCAATATAATTAAAACAATTAATTTTAATTATTATTATCTTCTTGATCAATATAAATCAAGAAGGTTTCCAGGTTTCTCATAAAAAAATAAAATAAATAAATGAAAATAAATAAATAAGAAAGAAGAAAAATCAGGTTACAATTCCAGAGAAACCCTTGTCAAATGCCGTAACCAGAAATCGATCTGTATCAAATACAAAAGAAAATATTTAATTTTTTTTTTTTTAATTTTTTAAGTTATTCTTTTGCAGTAATAGAAAATTCAATAGATAAACAAATGTTAAACAAAAAATCTGTTAAAAGATCAAGATAAGTCAAGAAGGTTTCCAGGCCTGTCATAAAATAAAAAAAATAAAATAAATGAATGAAAATTAATAATAAAAACCTCTGATATTAACCTCTCTGATATTAACCCCGACGATTCGGCCGATCACGCTAAATTCCAGCACATAAAAATTATAAAATAAAATAAATAAATCAATAAAATAAAATTTTAAACAAAATAAAAAAAAATAAATATAAAAGAGACCCGATCCCTTGCGAGGGCCGACTGCAACTGAGACAAGTTGAAAGAAATTATGAGGTATACCATTTTCAAGGCCTACTAATCAGCACTCTTCCATAACTCTTACTTAACCTAACCTTTTTCTTTTTGACAACTGTCTTACTATGTTTAGCACGCTTACTATGTTTAAAATAAAATAAGGGGCTATAATTCTACGAATGAACTACCTTGTATAATTTTATCATGGTCTTATATAGGTTTTTGATTTAAAATGTAAAGCTTAAAAATTCATATCCTAAAATGATTAAAATTATACCCAAAAAATGCCAAAAATCACTGCGAAATAATCTCTTTCTTAATTAAATTTCAATTCCTCAGTCTCTTTGGTTTTCTAGTCATTCAAAATAAAAATTGGCCCACGTGTTGGCTGCATCATTATTTGAAGTCAGACGCCTGTCAGCTCCAACCAGGATAAGCTACCAACTCCCAAATTTTCTATATTTTACAAAAAACTCCCTCATGATGCAAAAGTCCTGGCCAGACCTCCCCCTCGTTCCAAACATTGCATATCCCATGTCAGAGATTTCCTTTGAATTTCGCTTAGACCGTCATAAGATATCCGGTGGGGCATTTCTTCTACGCTTTTCCAGAATTCCTAGCAAGTTTAATATGATTTATTGGTTTGTTTGCCGGAAATTACAGGCAGTTGGGTCCTGGCTTAGCTTTATTTCTTTCCCTTTTTTATGTGGTTCCGCCTCACACCTCGGTCAACAGATGTCATCGGAAAAACGGCAGGAAAAACTCCAGAAAAGCAAACACAATTGGCATACTACAAGTTTAAAGAGAGGAAAATCTTCGTACTTCTTCTTGACTTCCAGGGGGGAAAAACTCCGTAAAGTGCTCTCCGAAAAATTCAAAGCATGAAGATGGCAAAATTAGAAAACTTTATTTGCCAAATGTCTGCAGGGAGGTCCTTGGTTTCGACTCCCCCTCGGTTTGGGGTCTGTGTTTGCAACCCTCGGGGATATCCTTGGAGCTGCAGACAGGAAACGGAAGCTTTTGTGTGTCTCCCCCTCGATTTACCCCGCCCCTGGACCGATGTGTTGATGACTTTCACTGACTATGAAATTTAAATGCGTTACGGAAATGTTTTGCGTTCGCTTTTTTGGTCGAGCAGACATATAAATTACAAAGGATTTTTATGGTCGTCCTTGCGCCTAGTTTGTGGTAGGGAGGACGAGGCGGCAGGACACGCAGCAGGTTTATTTTAAGTTCCACCATAAAACTTTCACTAGTGCGCCGGGGAACCTCCGGAGCATTGTTTATAATGTCTGCGGTCTGTCGACCTAGACCCGGACAGCATGGGGGCTTCCCCGACCTGGTTCGAATTTGCTCCCGGATGGGGTCGCCAGAGTGGTGACAAAATTGCAACCCCCAAAAATACACTAAAATAAAACAATTTCAAAGCGAAATGTAAGGTTTGTTACCCTTATATTCTCCTCTTGACTTTCTAGGTACTTTCTCGGTGTGTTCCTGTTATTTTCAGTGCACCATTAGCGATAGTCGTTTCTGCTAGCTTGTCCAATGCAAAATTCAAAAGCATTTTAACGGCAGCAGCTGCGGAGTTTTCTTTTCTTGGTTGAAGCTAACTTTTGGGAGAATTCCAAATTCATGGCACTTGCCAAGTTCTCTATTTTTTTTTAACAGACTGGCGGTGATTTGTTTGCGACAACCTGCTGGCAGGAGCAACATGTTGCTCTGACGCACATAATTAAAATCCAAAGGACATGCCAGGAATTTACTTTAATATGCTCGAGATTTCCGAAAACAGCTGATGGCGCCTTCAACCCCAAATCCGAAAACGTAGCCGCATTTATAGCTCCAAATTACTTTGCAATATGTTGTTCCCACAAAAACGTATTTACGGCATTTGCAGTGGGGATTTCCTTCTAAAATTGGCTTGAAAGTAACCCCCAAACGAGGTTGCCTTTAATGGGGAGGAAATTCCCATGCAAGCAGTTCAAGGGAAGGGCCTCCAAAACCCGCACACCCCTTCGATTTGGAAAGGACAAATCCTCCCACGTGCGTCAGCTCCCTGGGATCTCTAATTCGCATGCATTTATGCGTGACCATGAACAAGAACAGCTCCTGTTACCCCTGTTCCTGGTTTTCGTGCTCTTACTCCTGTGTCAACCTTCCTCCAAACAATGCACTCGTCCTGGCTGTGGCCACTCTCCAACGACAAGTTGTCAAGTCCTCTGGGCAAGCATCCTCGTGGTCCCTGCTGTCCTGTCTGTCCTCAGCCTAGTCTGGCTTAACTTCTGTTGTCCTGCGGGCTTGGTTTTTTCCACATGGTCTGCTCCTCTGTGTTGAATTTATAATTCCATTTGTGGTTTTAATTTGGTAAATGTGAGATTAATTTTATTCAATTTGTGTGGAGAGCAAGACCTATTCTGGTTGCCCAGGATCAGGGGCTGGGTTAACGCTTCATTGACTGTCAATTGTTGGCAATCGAAGCAAAAATAAATGGAAAGGGAAATTAGGAATGGAAAAGAGCTTTGGGAGAATGTAAATTTCAACATCAAAAGGAAACTTGGCTATTTAAAGACGAAAATTGTTACATAAAATTACTTGCAACTGTCTTCCCAACACATACAATTTTGAAAGACCATTGGAAAAATAATAAAAAATATTTTTAAAATATATTTTCTTTCGATATTTAAATGCAGATTGGTAAAAAATCGATCAACGATTCGTTTAAGGTATCCCGCTCAAGAATCGGATGATGACTTTCTAAGATATAGAAATCACTGTGGGCCATATTGGGCCTCCATGCACTTTCCTCATTTTTGAAGGGGATCCTCCAGGAAATTTGACAAAAAATCTCAAAAATATTTTGTTCTTAGATTTTGATGCAGATTGATAGAGAATCGACCCACAAATCGTTTAAGGTATTCCGCTCAAGAATCGGATGGATATTGACAAAGATATAGCCATCACTGTGGGCCATATTGGGCCTCCATGCACTTTCCTCATTTTTGAAGGGGATCCTCCAGGAAATTTGACAAAAAATCTCAAAAATATTTTGTTCTTAGATTTTGATGCAGATTGATAGAGAATCGACCCACAAATCGTTTAAGGTATTCCGCTCAAGAATCGGATGCATATTGACAAAGATATAGCCATCACTGTGGGCCATATTGGGCCTCCATGCACTTTCCTCATTTTTGAAGGGGATCCTCCAGGAAATTTGACAAAAAATCTCAAAAATATTTTGTTCTCAGATTTTGATGCAGATTGATAGAGAATCGACCCACAAATCGTTTAAGGTATTCCGCTCAAGAATCGGATGCATATTGACAAAGATATAGCCATCACTGTGGGCCATATTGGGCCTCCATGCACTTTCCTCATTTTTGAAGGGGATCCTCCAGGAAATTTGACAAAAAATCTCAAAAATATTTTGTTCTCAGATTTTGATGCAGATTGATAGAGAATCGACCCACTAATCGTTTAAGGTATTCCGCTCAAGAATGGATATTGAAAAAAATTCAAATATTTTTTTCAGTTTTGATAAGATTAATAGGAAACAAATTAAATTTCGGATGCATATTGACAAAGATATAGCCATCACTGTGGGCCATATTGGGCCTCCATGCACTTTCCTCATTTTTGAAGGGGATCCTCCAGGAAATTTGACAAAAAATCTCAAAATCGACCCACAAATCGTTTAAGGTATTCCGCTCAAGAATCGGATGCATATTGACAAAGATATAGCCATCACTGTGGGCCATATTGGGCCTCCATGCACTTTCCTCATTTTTGAAGGGGATCCTCCAGGAAATTTGACAAAAAATCTCAAAAATATTTTGTTCTCAGATTTTGATGCAGATCGATAGAGAATCGACCCACAAATCGTGTAAGGTATTCCGCTCAAGAATCGGATGGATATTGACAAAGATATAGCCATCACTGTGGGCCATATTGGGCCTCCATGCACTTTCTTCATTTTTGAAGGGGATTCTCCAGGAAATTTGACAAAAAATCTAAAAAATATTTTGTTCTTAGATTTTGATGCAGATTGATAGGGAATCGACCCACTAATCGTTTAAGGTATTCCGCTCAAGAATCAGATGGATATTGACAAAGATATAGCCATCACTGTGGGCCATATTGGGCCTCCATGCACTTTCCTCATTTTTGAAGGGGATCCTCCAGGAAATTTGCACAAAAATCTAAAAATATTTTGTTCTCAGATTTTGATGCAGATCGATAGAGAATCGACCCACAAATCGTTTAAGGTATTCCGCTCAAGAATCGGATGGATATTGACAACAAAGATATTGTCCATCACTGTGGGCCCATATTACTGGGCCTCCATGCACTTTCTTCATTTTAAGGGGATTCTCCAGGAAATTTGACAAAAAATCTAAAAATATTTTGTTCTTAGATTTTGATGCAGATTAATAGGAAAACCCCCCACAAATCGTTTAAGACTCCGCTCAAGGATCAGATGGAAATTGGCAAAGATATGGCTTTCGGGGGGGGGGGTATTGGTCTTATTTTTGACCATTTTGAAGGGGACCCATCAGAAAAATTGACAAAAAAGTGAAAAAATATTTTGTTCTTAGATTTTGATACAGATTGATAGAGAATCGACCCACAAATCGTTTAAGGTACTCCGCTCAAGGATCGGATGCATATTGACAAAGATATAGCCATCACTGTGGGCCATATTGGGCCTCCATGCACTTTCCTCATTTTTGAAGGGGATCCTCCAGGAAATTTGACAAAAAATCTCAAAAATATTTTGTTCTTAGATTTTAACGCAGATTGATAGGGAATCGACCCACAAATCGTTTAAGGTACTCCGCTCAAGGATCAGATGGAAATTGGCAAAGATATGGCTTTCGCGGTGGGTGATATTGGGCTCCCATGCATTTTGACCATTTTTGAAGGGACCCATCAGAAAAATTGACAAAAAAGTGAAAAAATATTTTGTTCTTAGATTTTGATACAGATTGATAGAGAATCGGCCCACAAATCGTTTAAGGTACTCCGCTCAAGGATCGGATGCCATATTGACAAAGAAATAGAAATTTTAGGCCTCCATGCACTTTCAACATTTTTGAAGGGGATCCTCCAGGAAATTTGACAAAAAATCTCAAAAATATTTTGTTCTCAGATTTTGATGCAGATTGATAGAAAATCGACCCACAAATCGATTAAGGTACTCCGCTCAAGGATCAGATGGAAATTGGCAAAAGAGACGTTGGTCAAAGGAGAAATTTGGTAAACAAATTAAAAAAAAAAAAAACAAATTTGTTTTGTGTTGAAATGGATAGGAAATCGGTCAACAATTGGTTTAATAAAACTTTTTTTCTGACGATTCTCTTATGGCGGTTTCCGATTCGTCCATCATTTTCTCCAGATCCCTTTCCGCTTTAGGGTGCAAACTAGTTATGAATATGTCCCGAGTGGCTCTAAACTTTCCGCAATTATTCAGATGCTCGTTTTCAAGACGTAGCAGATTCCAAATCAGTCGTCGAAAGATTTCCAAGAATAGCAAAAGGGATTTTCCATTGTAAGCTTTACAAATACCCACATTGACGAGAGTAAACTCCATAATCCATGCAAATCGCAGCACCACGTTTTCGACTATGGCAAAGTAATAAAAGGTCTAAAAATGTATATCGTTTACAAATTATTGGTCACTGGAGATTAGGCTTTTTCAAAACTCACCTTGGGATAAACTAAACTTTCGCGTAGAAATATATTCTCACCCTTCCAAATTCTGAAAAGACCAAAATCCATCAACAAGTCCCAAGATAGAGAGTAAGTTGAGCTCATCACTGCCATAATTAAATAGGCCCATGTCCAGGGATTCTGAAACATGTGCTCATATTTTTCTGAAGACGATATCCATTAGTATTAATTTTATTAGATAATCATTTTTTACTCGCCGTTCGTATTCATATGGATGGTAGAGAAGAGAACCACTGTCATGGAAAGGACGTACTTGATTGCATTCAATAGATGATCGATGCTAAAGGGCTTGCTGTCTGAATATCTTCGAAGACACTGGGCCAAACGACACCAGGAGGGCAAGCACCTGATTATGGCCACTCCATAGTCCGGCTCAAAGTCAAAGGCGTTCGCGCTACCCCGGAAATATTGGAAATAAAACCGGAGTTGATAGTAGAGGTCCACGGTGCAAATAATAAGCGAGTTCCACTGATCGGCCATCCAGAAGTCCACGAACTTCACCTCGTAAAACGGAGCCATTATGACGCGCCCAAAGGTGCGGATTAGCCAAAATCTGGCCGACGAAAAGAGAACGGGTATGGGATTCAGGAGCAGGGCAAAACCTATTGCCGTATTGGCCAGTGGGATGAGGTATGGGTCTTTTATATAAAACTCATCGTGAAACAAATAGAGCAGGATCCCCAAGGTGCAGAGATACCCCAAACAGCTGACTATCTGCAATCCCTTAACAGAGCCCAGGGTTTTCCGGCGTTCCACCTCGAAGATCAAGACGTGGTTGACTCCAGCCTTCTGCCAGATGTGCACATCGATGACTAAAATGAAGCCAAAAAGCATTCCGGCCACAGGCCCCCTAAACAAGGAGAAAAACATAAACCGAAACTCCTCCGTCCGGTTAAGAACAAAAACTAGGTATCAAGACCACAAATTAGGAATCCGTATGCCTCTTATAAATCCTTCGATAAAGGACTTACATGACAAAATGCAAATCAAAGCTGAGACAAGAAAGAGTCCCAGGAAGAAGGCGGCAAAGAACACATCGGCTGGTGGAGTGGGCTGACCAAGGGGCGGAACCCGTAGCCTGGCCATGGCCTTGGCTCGGTCTCCGTTGGTCAGAAACTCCGTGTACAGTTCCTCCACAGTCGTGATCATCTCAACCAGAACAGAGGTCTTCACAAACGGGGCCTGGAGCACAAAGTTTTCATACCATCTATTCGCAGCCGATGTCTTTATGTTCTTGTCATACTTTTTGCAAATTTTCCGGAAAGCCGTATGATTCAGGGCCTGGTAGTTCTGTAGCATGACTAAGCTGAGGTGGCGAAGGAAGGGTACCGATCGATTAGGGTCTTCTATATCACCTACCCACTTACCTCAGATAGAACTCGCTCATGGCCAGGGGTAGCTTGCGTCGCTTGGCACGGGAAATATGAGCCCCATCCATTACCACCTTGGAGCCCCTGGGTCCCGGCTGTCCATGACTACGGCCGATGGTTAGCTCGTACTTCAATGTGGCCAGCTTGCGTTGCGCCTCCGCTTCCTTGTGGGAGAAGAAGTTGTTGACCCTGGTTAGCTCCACCTTACAGGTGTGAAAGAACAGAATCTCGAATTCATTGTAGTAATTGTTGATCTCAATACTGGTGGCATCGGCTGGATCAGGTGCTTCATCCACTGCTTGCGCAATCATTGCTTTCAACTCCTGTTTTTGGTAGATGGAGGATATCATAGTCCTTGTTTTTAAAAAATAAGGAGCTTACATTGTAGTTTATGTACTGCTGCCGCCATTCAGAGGTCAAGAGACTTTCAAAGGTCTTGCCAAACTTCATTTTGAATGTGCTTTCAAAAAATATGGAATATTTTAGGAATTATGTACGTTAAAATATAGCAAGACAATTGAGGCTAGGAAAGTCCTACCTACATATTTATGTTATAATTTAAATTACTTTCTTTTTTAATTATAAGTTTATTCTAAGTCCACGCCTTCATTTTCCTCTGAGTCCCTTGAAAGTTACCTTGGAGTGAGGCTTATCCTTTTCATCTCCTGGACATGATTTACCCTCGGGTTTCCTGTATTCGCTATTGTCCGCAAATTTCGACATGCGTTTCCCTTTCCATTTTGGAAAAAGTTGACATTTTCGCTTTTGTTTTAGCGGACGATGTCCGCAGAACTCTGCGGCTACGCCCACGTCTCCTCCTCCAGGTTGTCTGGCTTTTCATGTTCAAGCGGGCTTTAATATATTCCTGGTTTTTTCGAGTTTTCCGCCTGTTTGAAGAGATATCATTAAAAATTGTACGAAAAGAGGGTGACTCAGGGTTGGTCTTAGAGGGGGGCAACTCTTTCGAGCCCGGTGGCCCTTCGATCGACACCCACAATTCGATTTCAGTTGCCAGCCATTAGTCATAAGAAAAGAAAATTGGGGAGCAGAAAAATGTCGTTCACAGGCATCCACAGTCATGATGAGTGGGTGGCCCGAAAGGACTCCCATCTCACCTCGGTCTTCATCATCAAAGCCAGCATTCATCTCCTCCCGGCTGCCAACCCCCACACAATGTGAAAAATGTGAAACAATTGCAACGATGATTACTTTTTCCAACAGTTTCCCCCCCCCTAACAGTTGTTGTTGTTGTTTGGTAGTAAAGGAAAATTGAATTGGCAGTGGGCGGAGCATGAAGTTTGTCCTGCCCCCAAGGGACCATTTCCAGGAGGCTGGATTGGGAAAAGGGCAGACCCGGACAGGGTAAGATGAATACAGGTGAACCCCATAATTATATGCTAAATACTCCAGTAATTAACTCCCCCGGGAGCATTAACTATTTGATGAAGATGATTAAGTTGAAGGAAGCCTCTAGAAATTATACTGCCTTATCCAGGAAAGCGGTAAACTAACCAACAACCCTGTGTGAAAGTGGCAACATTTGCAAAATTTTAAGCCCTACATCAGTGTCTATTTGAGAAGCTGTCAGCAGTTTCGATATCCTAGAATTGGGGTTGTAAAGGGTATGTTAGTACTTGATCATATATTCAATAAAAATCCAAAAATATTCTTGACTGAATAAGAGCTTTAAAATAATTATCTAGTTATGTTTCTAGAACTCCATCATAAGCAGTACTCAGTTATCCTTAAAGACCTCGACAGCATCGCTATTCCGTTTTTTATGGATGTCCCTAGCTGGACAACAATAACCGAAAGGCAAATAAAAATATTTGCATAGACGTACCGTTGAACAATTGGATAGACTGGCAAGTGAACACTGCCGGAGGGTTATCCGAGGGGCAGGATCCGGGGACAGACTATATAAAATGAAAAGTAAACATTGCAGTGTCCGCCGTTTGCCATTGAAATGATAAAGTGCCCGGGATCCGTCCGTTTCGCTTCGAACTCCCCCGCCGCCTTGAAAAAAGGCAATAAAATGCATGCTTAGTGTTTTTAGAGCAGGGGCTTAATGGCATTACAGGGAGGGGGTTTCAGGGAGGCGGTCTCCGGAGCAGTCCGTCTGGAGTTACATCTGGTCCGGTTAGCCGTATAGTATGTTGTGTGTGTTTGTTTGCGGGAACTCAGGCGAAAGGCTTTCATGCTTTTTGGATTTGTCTAAACAAAGATTTATTGGGTCTAGTTTTTGTCTTCTTTTCTTTTTAACAAAAAGTGTTTCGTTTTTCTTTAGCTTGTAACAGGTTAAAGAGACTTACAAAAATTCCATCTTCATGTTTTGTTGTCTCTGATTCTAACAACTTCAATTTCATTAGCTTATAGTCTAAGGTTTTTTTTCTAGACAGAATATAAATCATTAAAGTCAGTTTTTTTAAGTTGTTAACCTGTCTCTAATTGCTAACTTCAAAAACCCACAAAACAATGAAATCAATTTACTTTTTTAACTATCCTCAAGCTAAAATCCAATCATTACGAGATATTGTAAAAAAGGCTAAAAGCTTAATCGCAGACATCGACTTTCTTTCCGCCCACTCGGAGTGAAAAAAGCCCCACCCCTGTTCAACTATAGCGCCACTTTCAATCGCAACTAGTTTGGTCATTCAATCATCGCGATTTTGGCGCTACATCGCACATGCCAGTAATTGCAATCATATTTTCGACACGCTGCCCAACATGCATTGGCCATAAACTTCAAGCCGGGCAAACAGTTTTTATTTTTAAATTGTCAATGGTTTTCAGGGGCATAAATTATACTCTTATTTACTCTTTTAAAAATAATAAAATTCTATTCAGAGTTTATTATAAACTAAAGAATAGAATAAACTATTATAAAAGGTTGAAATCTAAACTTGGTTAAAATTTCATTACCGCTATAAACATATTTTAAAGATTTTAAATACATAGTTTAAAAATCAAATAATGAGACATATCTAAATATTGATAACTTTTAGTATTTAATATTAGGTAATTTCTTATTAAAAACCAAAACTCCCCTAGTAAGTGTATATAATTGACCACTCCAGTCGTCTACTTTAAACTGGACCGAACGAGTTGCGAGTTTGCCTGATCGGCTTAGTGTCAAACGAGTTTTCCGATTGAAATTAAGCTGAATGATTAAACAATTTTACTTTCTGCCTATTGGCAGACTCCACCACCCGCTCACCGCCCCCTGGCAAGTTGCGACAGTTTATGGGACTCGAAACTATTTGCCATAATTGCTTACTTTGTTAAATTGCGACGATTTGTTTGCCGGCCAGCAATAACTTGGAGCGGCTTAATTGCTCTTGTTTGCCATTAAGTTGACCCCCAACAGCTGGGGCATGAGCATTGAACTTTCGAGGAGACTCCCTCCGGCCGGAGGCTCCCCAATCGCATGTGGCAAGTGCAGTGTATATTTTTAGACCAGACAAATGCAACAAGCCAAGCCAAACCACACGATTGCCCCAAAACAAATCAACCACCCCAAATGCAACATTTGCACTGAAAAAACAATTTATTTTAGTTTATGTTACAACTTGTATAGGGGGTAAGTTCTGCTAAGTTTTATTTTAAGGGTTATTAGCTTAATAATATTTATTTTAATATTTTAATGGAAACAAATTTTTTCAAAGTGCAGAATCGAACTTAAACATATTTCAATGCTAGGATGAGAGTGTCTTCCGATCCTTTAAGTTAAGTTTTATTTTATTATATATATATTATAAATTATATAAATTTTATTATAAATATTTATGTTACCTTATTTAGCAGAAGGCAAAGAGATTTTTCAATATCAATATAATATTGGTTTTTTAATATAATATATAATATAAATATAAACCTTCCTTGTATTTCCTCGCTTTCAACTACAATATTTATTTTTGAGTGTAGTATCGAACTCGAACATGTTGCGAGCCTGATATGGCAGCTTAGCCGGTTCTTTGTTTCCAACCATTTCCAACTTACCGTTGCGTGGAGTCGGACGTGGAACGGTCTCTTTTCGTTTTCGTTTTGGTTCCGGCGGAAATTACGACGCGTGCCGCTCGCGAAAATAAATGGCGGCAAATCTCGTCGAATGTGTGTGTGTGCGGATAAGATGATTAACGAGCAATAATTATTCAAGAGTGCCAAACAAAGCCAAAGTGATACTATATTCGAGGAATATACTCGGGACTATATACAACTTTTAAAAAAGTTTGTTTTCAAAGATTTTCAATAGGCTGTTGCATACTTTATGGCTTTAAGGTCCCTGTGTCAGCATTATTCCCACACCACATGGCACGCAGCATAATTAACGCCTTATCGCAATGGCCACAAATTAAAAGGCTTAAGGCAGACAAACAAACAGGACCCAAAAAGTACATATATGGCCAGACCAGACGACCAGACCGTATCCCCATGGGCCGCCACACAAAAAACGCTGAACACATCCTAGATTAAAGTCCAGCTTTATGTATTTTTGGGGAAGAAGAGGTTGAAGTTCAATGTTTCAAAATGTTATCTTTTATTTCAATCTCACATTAGACATGGTTATACCTACGTTTCTTTGGGATTAGTTTGATATCTAAAAAGTTTTACAAACCACAATTTTGGTCAGTAAATGGTTATATTTATTCAGATTGTTATCAACCTCTTCCACCCCATCTTACCACCTTTCTACATGACTTCCCTGAAAGTTCTCAGATGGTTTAAACACACTTCTGCCTTGGCTTTAATTTAGAGCCGAAGGGTAATTAGTCGCAGACAATAGATAGAAAGAACAAACCCAAAGTGGGCTCCCAAAGGGGTGCTAATCTTCGGTTTCATCGGATGGGATCGCAGATGCAGGCCTGAGATGTCTGATGACTGGTTGTTAACCGGTTTTTCTTTTTGGGTCTCAAGACGGCGCGTGTCTTCAATTAATCACCGTCTCGAATCGGCTTGCCTCCTTAGCGCTATTCGGATCTCTAATTTAATTTTATTCAAGTGGCAGCTGGGATCCAAAGGATGAAGCATCCCGTACTTGAAAATCAAGCTAATTATGGTTGGCAAGAGTTGAGCAAACATGGCCAGAGATGCAGCTGACTTGAGGATTTTCAATTTTCAAACTCTGTTCTGTCTTTGACATCTGACAAACTGACAACCTGACAAGCGGGTAACAGGCGCTGTCAAAATCCTTTGGTGGGGGAGCATTGAACCCGAGGTATCGCCATCAGCAACCCTCATAGAACAACAGAAGCTAAATCGAAATCGGATTCAAAAGCCCCGCCAGAAATCCGAGATATCAGAAAGCGAGCTGTCAAATTATCAAGCGAAATCAATTGTGTAGGGTACTCGTCGGAGGTACTCCTCTGGAAACATGGACTAATGATAGGGGCCGAGTGTCTTCGGGCTAAGCGTGTGAATGGGACGTGGTAACTGGTAGCCGGTTGCGGGAGAAATGT